GCTTTGGAAAAAATCATCATAACTTTGCCTCCCATTAAATGTATGTTTGATGGGGAGCTCAGTGAATGTGACCTGTAAGGAAACAGAATAGTGTGTTTCAGTCTTTACAAAGGAAACATTTATAACAATTTATAGCTGAGGCCGCCAAACGTGTTCTTCAGAGATGCACTAGAATTACATGTATTCAAAAACTTTAGGGAAAAGGGGATTTAATCTCAGTGAAAGCTGGCAGTATAAATGTGTGTGTGTGTGTGTATAACTATATGCATATATAGGTATGAATAAACAAGCATTAAAATCCAAATGTTTCTTCTTTCTTCCTGCTCAATGTTAATGAAGGTTGTGCTTAGGCATTGACATTCCTGGCAATATAGCAAAGTCGTAACAGAGGACAATCAGTTTAGCTGTGCTCTGCAGGGCGTTCTAGCAAAGGACACAGCGTGGCTACATCCAGAAACCAGGGTCATCCTTTGTGAGTATTTATAATCCCTGCACTGGACACACAAAGAAAATTTTACTCTGGTCTTTCAGTCAGTGGATTCACTGCTTGCCACATCCATTCTGTCCTTGTTGTATTTGCAGACATCTTTTGTATCCGACTGAGTTGCCTGGCTGCTGCTGAGGGCTTATTTTCATCTTCAGAAGACAATAGTAAACATAAAGTATCCTTACAACATCCTGTTGAAGTGGACACCTCTCTATCCTTGCTTTCCAGGAAGGAACACAGGCAAAGCTGAATGGATTAGTGATAATTAAGTACTACTGGTTGATTCTTCAATTCTGTATGTGCCAAGTGCAAATAATGATACTTTCTTTTCTCTGCTTCTTGTCTGGTATATTTAAACTCCATGCTTTCCAGGGCAGCATTTATCTCATTAGCTGTTTGCACAATGCTTAGCGCTGTGGCGTATTACTTTTAGATAGAGCCCCTAGACACTTCCAAACAGCTGCTATATTTACCTGAGGATACAAGGGTATGTCAATAAGAGACAGAACCTGCTTTATTCTACTTGCTGTCTGCGTAAGCCAGTTTCCAAAAGCAAGCAGTATAGCTGTACTAAGCCATTAGCATCGGATGGAGTGGATTTCATCAAGTACAGCAACTTGCTAGCATTCGCATGGCTTCCAGGCTGATTCACAGGTTGGTTCATGGGCAGAGTGGGGGTGTGTGTATGTGTGGCTTTATCTGCACAAGCCCATGCAGTTGTGCCAAAAGATAGGCTGAAGATAAGTTTGTAGCTTTCATTTCAGGCATTATTAGTTTGTAGTCTTCACAAAGAAACTATAAACACCACTAATAAAAATAGCAACCCTTCTGGCCTAGTAAACAGAGCTCATATACGTTGAGAGCATTATATTGGCAACAATGCACTCCATATGCTCATGAAGGTTACAGGGCACATTTCCATGTAAACAGTCAAGACAGTGAACTTCAAATATTTGGAAGAAATGTTTATTTAACAACTGAATACATGCTAAAAGAAATAATTTACAGCAGCAGTTTCATTACATTTTTTTCTCTCCAGTTTTCTAGTTCCCATCTGAATTGAAGTGATAAATACAGAAGTAGAATTATTTACTACCCAGTGAGGAATGCGCTTAAAGAATAAGTGCATAACTTCGGCACTGATATAGCAAATAAACCACCTTATCACCTGTGTGGCAATATCTTGCATTTTAGTATTATGCTGAACACATCGAAATGGAGTACCTCTAGATAACAGTACTTTACACTGTACCTCCTTATCTAGTCAAAAATATTTACATCTCTTTTGGCTAATGTGTAGGTAGCAAAAACTGAACTATTAAACACATACCATTGATATTCACTAAATAATACATAAAAAGGATCAGTAAATGCGCATTCACATGCATTTAATTTAATTTTATTTTTTTACATAGTGACTTTATTGGGTCATGAAGATTTAACTCTGTTCTGCAAAGATGCACATTTTCTCAGTTTGATGCCATAGTTTAACATAACCAAACAGTTTTTAGGAGCCATTGAACAAATTCCCATCTTCAGTGATCCATGCAAGTGAAAAGTGTAGATGAATAAGATTCAATGCATTTTTGTTCCTTGCAAATGGATATCTTAAATCAAAATAGATCTTTCTAGTTATAAATGAAATCCTTTATTTCTCTCCAGCTTAAACACAACTTTTTACTTACTTTTTCTAAAGTCTGTAACTAGAGGTTTAGAGGGTTTTATTGACAATTTACAGAAATACCATTTTTACCTTTATCTTCAAACCTTGTTGCTTTAAACAATAATGACACAAACGGGGGTATGAATTTTACTGAAGCTGCAGGGCATCTTTCTATACATGAATTCATTAAGGCCTGTGTTTTTCTTTGAAAAAAGTTCATTTCATGTGAGTATGAAATGCTGTTTTAACTTGACCATCATATGAACCTGAAAATCAAAAATTTCCACTGCTGGCTTGATCTTCTGCCCTCTTATTTATATAAGCAAATACAAAGACATAAACACGACTACTCAAGCCAGTGAGGATTGGATTGAAGTTTGTCAGATCTGATCATATCAATTATCCAAATAGACTGCCAGGTTACGGTAAAAACATTGCAACTTCTGCAATTTTGTTCCCACAGATTGTCTTTCTCTGTACAGAAAAACATATCTTAGAATCCTGACTTAATTTAATGTGTTTCTTCTTCAGGGGCGGTGAAAGAGTTTGGTTTTGGTTTGATTTTTTGCAGCAAGTTGCTATAGAACCAGTTGCTATGAGCATGGTAGAGAAAAAAGTTAGATAGCAATTCCATTAATATGTAAAAAAGGAAACAAAGTCATTTAGGATCTATTGAAATCAATCTGTATTTTTCCCACTGAATCCTCTGAGGTTCATTTTAAAACTGTTTCCTTTTGTAACGAAGAAGATTCTAATGACTCGATGGTACACGATAGCCCTACACAAAAGGCTAAAGAGTGTTCTGTGGTTACAATTAAATAATTCAGCTCACAACAATGCTCCGAAATTAATCATGAGCTGAGCTGAAAAATTAATACTTCTGTACAGGAAATCACATAGTTGAACCTATGTTTTAATTCATCCCTATTCAGCACATCATGAAAGCATGGGAATTTAATGTCATATTAAAGTTCACAGGAGTCAAGTTAAACATGAGAGAGACTTAAAGTTGCTTTAAAACTAAATTCCCAAGTGCTTTCCTAAATCATGGTCTTACAGCCTTGTCCTGGACTATTCTTTGCTGAAGAATTACATGACAAAAAGTCTTGCAAGTTCATCCCCTGCAAAGGATTCAAAGGGGCCTAAAGTGACTGGGCTGTTAGTGAAATCCAATTGCTATGGAGACAAGAAGCCAAGGCTTCACTAATCAGAAGGATACTTGAATTAGTGAGTAGCAAGGAGACTAGGACATATTGTGAGAGATGCTGTCACAGCAGTTGTGTTATATTGTATTTGATAAGGCTGATAGTGTAGTGATTGATAAATTAAATAATCTGGAGTGAATAACAACAAAACAGATCAGTCATCAATAAAGACACACTTTTATATAAAAGCTCCTTTAGCAAACTAAGGACTTTGTTCTAGTAATTTTCCCCACAATGACATTACTTGAAATTATGTCATTTACGGACTCTACCAAGATAAAACATGGGAGGCTGGAGAAAGATGACCTCAAAAGAACTGGACACCATAGAACTGGGGACCAAAGGCACATCTGTGCTGAGGTGAATAAATCCACTACTTATAACCCTAAACTGACACTTATGGTGCAAGTACATTGTCTGTTTTACCCTGTTGCTCTCCTGTATATAGAATAAGACAGAAGCACAGGACCAAATTATCTGTTAGTATAAACTAGTCTTAAGCTGAACTTCACCAATTTACTACTGCAGCAGACTTCACCCACAGATAAAACTGTCCTTTAGGTCTTAAAACAGAGAGCTGGCTTTGAGGTTACTATTTAAGTGGCCTAGTGCTTGTTCTTTGCATTTGGGTGATCTGGCCCACAGAAAGAATGGAGCACTGAGAATCAGTAGTGTGGACATATTTCTACCACTGAGCTGGGAACAAAACTCCTTAAACTGAACGTGAGCTTTGCTCATGGATATATGACAGTCTATGAGCCACAGTATTTAAATATTAGCATTCACAAATATTTACGAACCAAGAAAGCAAGAGTGTAATTAGTAGAGGGTATTTTAATGCTATTTACTTTTTTTAATTAAAAAAAAATATACAACTGAAAATCAATGCTCTCCTCTTCATTGGTTCAATCTATAGCAGGTATTATACAAGTTGAATCATTTCAAATACCATACTTAGAAAAAAAGAATGCAGAAGACTTCCATGCTATACAGCGACTTTCATGTTAAAATAGCTTAGTTTTAAAATTGTTTTGAAGTTACATGTCATATAGATTACTGAGAGGGGAGGAGGTTAACTGCAGTGTGACTAGCTCCCCTGGAAGATTTTCCAAACAAAAGAGTAATGCAGCTCATAACTGGAAGTTGTCTTTTTTTCCTCTAAACCAATAATTAGAAAGTACAATATTTCTAAGACAAAAAGTCTAATCTATTTTAGAAAAGAGTTAATGTTTGCTGCATATTTTTCATGGTACATTTAAATTATAGTTTTAATAAAATACATCTTTAGATCAAAGCTGAAAGAAGTCATCAGTAGTAGGCCAGTGTACTCCACATTTTTTGTTCTTCCAGATGATGGATGGCTTATGTTGTTCAGATTTCCTCAAACAATCTCATTCAGTATTGTTTTTTCCTCTTCTAGTATACATAAACAGGAGAACTGGTAGACAAAACAAGAACAAAATCCTTGTGTCCAATCACGCGTTTAGACGTTCATCAGCTTAATGAGTTCATGCAGTTTTATATATAAGTCTAGAAATGGTAGTGCTGCTGATGAAAGGTGGATTTTGTTTTTCTTTTCTTTAAGATGACAGCATGAAATACAGCATTTTGTTTATATCTCAGGCAAAAGAGAAAGCAAAACTTGAAGCTAGGTCCAGGTGAGTTATCATCCTTGAAACTCTGGTCTTTCTGGTTTTAGAAGCAGAGCAGAGAGGAAGGACTTACTAGGAAAGTTATAAATGGATTTTATTTAAACCTGGTGGAAATTGTTTGAACTTTCCACTCTTGTAAACATCCACATAATGCCATGAAAAAGTTCATGAATATTGCATTTTTTTCCAGTTATCTGTCTATACAAGTTTCTACTTGGATGAGGTTCCTAGAGGTAATGTAGCTCAGACACTCCGTGGTGCCCTCTCAAATTCATGGGTCCTCCTGTTCCTACCTTTTTTATTCTCTTGTAGGTGCTTCCACTTATTTGTATTCACCTGCGCATTGGCAGGCCTTTGCCGGCGTTGTTTGCGGTCTCTTTTCCAAACCTGCTCACAGAACTCATCCATTGTGTTGAGATTGGGGTGATTGATTAACTGCATGAAGTCTCTATACCAGATCTTTTGACTGGGGGTCATGCTATTGGTAGCATCCTTGGTCTTGGAGGCATCACCATCTTCTTCTTTATGGAGCAGCTCTTCCAGGTGGTCAGTATCAATTACTTCCAGGGTCACTTTGAGCAAAGTTTGCATGAAGCCGTGCTCCACAGCATGACAAAAATAAATACCAGAGTCTCTCCGTTGAAGACTTCGTAGCAATAGGCCCTGTTCTGTCCGGATCATGCGATCATCCACTTTTATCTGTATTGGAATAAATTGGTAATTTCAATAGTTATCTTTCATATATGTGCAAAATTATTCTCTAACCATACTAGTTCCTTAGTACTGCTCCTTTCAGTTAATAAAACTTGGTCGAAAATTGCCAAAACCATACGAATGGAAAACCCTTTGCCAGTCATCTGTAGTTATGGAAGGCTCAAAGAGTCTGGCAATACTACTGATGTACTGCAAAGAGCTTTGGGGGATTAAGAATTTACTCCTACTGTTGCTGAACAAAGATCTGTATCAACTCTGTCAGATGGACTTGGTGTTAAAATTACAGAAGATGCAAGCCTACAATCAGCAGAGTCAACGTGGATGCATTTGGCTATATTACTGAGGTCACATTCATCATTATGTTTTAGTCAAGCCTAGATATATTTGTGGAAAAGGGTCTCTGTCTTCCTATTGTTCCTTACTACAAAAGCCTTTATGCATAGAAGTGGATTCTCCATAAGTGGAGAATTTAGAAAGAAACAATAAGGATTAAATCTCAAAATTTTAATACTCAAAAAGCAGCTGTCCAAAATACTGTATTTTTCTGAATTAATACATAGAATTTAATTTTGTTCTTTGAATACATGTCACTGCAGACAGAAAGGGCACAAACTTGTTTGATGCTCTCTCCATGAAGAATAAATTCTAAATAATTTACTACTTATGCAAACAAAGCAAACAGCAAAAAAATCTAAAGCTGTTAATGTAACTAAGTACTTAGTACGTGCTTTAAAAAAAAATGCTTCAGAGTAGTTGGGGTATATTTACAAATACTTCAATGTAACAAACAAGTTTTTGTTTCCTAGCTTGATCTCCCTACCTACCAGAGTAGATTATTCTCTTAAGATATGTGTGACCTAGCTTGATAGTAACATGATTTCAGAACCAGGGTGAGTAATAACATAAGAATGTTGGTGACAAGAGAAGGAGGAAAATAAAGTATCAGCTTAGTGTAATGCTAGCAGGGAAAGTCAGTGTTTTTGCCTCTATGGGTATTGCTTTTGATGAAAAAAAGTACAAGTTTTCATACTCTTGTGTCCACTACAGTTCCCAGTTCTTCATTTTCTCTCTGTCTCATCTGCAGTAAAGTCTTAGAGCATGCAGTAGATAGGAAATACTTCCATTAGACTATGTTTCAGATGAACAGTATAACTAGATGAGTGCAGTTAGACTTTTCAGAGGCAGTTTTAAGGTCTTTGTAATATTGAAGTTCAATATAAACCTTGTATGATGCTTTAGGTGGCACTTATATAGCATGCTACCTTTTTGTCTTTCTGAGCTATCTAAAGGAAAACCACTGTGTCTTGCAGGGGGTCTGACCAGGGAGAGGATATGTTTTCTGATGTAACAGTCTGTGAAACCTATTAGACAGCTTATGGAATTTTATGGTGGTAAGAGTAAGAATATGGTGAAGAACAACAGAAATTACAAGATCCCAGAGAAATTCTGCTAAACTAAAATACAGATGGACATTATTCTGGGAAGGACTCAGTTTCAAGTATATCTTCATAGAGAAGACTAGTTGCATTTCTTAATTTTTTCTACTGTACCTCTTCTTTGCGGTCATCATTTTGCTTCTGGAATTGCCAGTAGACTACGGCACGCTGAGATTTTGGACTGCACTCAAGAAAAGTGCTGCTATTCTCTACTCCATAGATAATCTTTTCCTCCAGGGTCTGACCGCTTGGGTTATCTGTAAAGAAACAAAAAAAGAAAAAAAGAATTAAATTGCCAGGAAAGAAAAATCTGAATTGCTAAGTGAATTTGTTTGTTTAGAAATTGGGCTCCTGTAAGGTGTTCAAAGATAAAAACCTTAAAAGAAAAAATTCCCCATATCAGTATGCCATTTGGAAAATCTCCATCGACATCTCTATCTTTGTAAGGATTTCTGATAGGGTTTTTTTTATTATTTTTGTATTTTAAATCCTAACAGCTGTTAACATCTCAATATGTGAAGTTAATGAAATTCACTGTGAAATTTTGTGTAAACCTCATTACTATTCATCAAGGAAAACATCTAGGACACAACAAGAATTTTTAATAGCAAACTATATACAGTGAGAAAACTCAGGGTGTAGTTGCAGAATGTCTGTAATGATGCCTCCTGGGCTCCATGATCATAATACTTTAGAGCAAAGTAATAAAACATGAGGCTATTTAAAAGTAGTATAATGTGTTTAGATTATATGGCACTGCAGTTTGCTGAAGCTGTTAATGACCAGGAATAATGTTTTTGAGGAAACAATCTTCAATTAATCATTTCCTCTCATACTGATATAATTTATGGAAATGTAATGAGGTTAATAAACCAGACATTATGGGAGGGGAAAAAGAAAGTTAAATAAATTACTTCCTTTTGTAACAACAATGTTTCAAGATATTCATCAACTTGCTGGAAATATCACATAGCTATAGGACTTATATAGCATTTGATTCTTCTCCAATACCGCAGAGGCTGTAAGGCATCATATTTCAACTCTCCACCTTAGCTCTTTAAAATGCTGTTATGGACTTAAGTGGCAACAGTACAATAATCCTGGAAAGTAGATGGGGAGGAAGGGATTGCTAAGCTATTTAACACTGTGTTGATCTCATGGGGTCTCCTGTCTCTTTGCCATTATTTGTCATTCCTTCCATTTTCCACTTTTGATCTTTAGCACTGGCAATCTTTAAGGAACTTCTTTTGATATGTTTTAAAAGGAAAATGATGTCTAATTAAAATCCTCTCAGAGAAATCCTTTGTCAAGTTTTGTTTGCTTTCACAGTGACCTTATGATATTGGCCATGTTGTTTAGCAAACACGGGCTGTTTGCTAGATGACTGAACGAAAGATAAAAATAAAATTGAGCTCCTGGTTTATGTTGATACAGCTACAGCAATGATATGTCTTTCCATAATGACTTGCAGCCCTGAGAGAGGATGGGAGAAGGGATGAGGGACAGAATAGGAACTGGTGCTTGCCCAGTTCTCAGTAAGGAAACATCAAATGGCCTATCAACACTAAACAAATAGGGAATGGGTTAGCTTGCTTTCCTCTGCTGGATTGTGAACCTTTCCAGCAAGTAAGTGGGGTGCTATATAAACAACTAAGTGAAACAACTTTTAAGACACCTCTCAGAAACCACATCCCTATGAAGAATGCCAGTGCAGCTTTTGGCCAGGAAGATGGGGAGCAATGGAGGAATGAATTAGAAAGCAAAGCAGCAAGAGAAGGGTAAGACAGCTGGAAGAGAATGTACCCAAAGGTACCAGCGGTAAGGTCTGAGGTGGAACATGGGTAAATTTGTGTCAATGAAACAGAGGAACTGGAAGTATGTGAAGAAATTAACTGAATATTAATAGAAGTGATAAGATAAAGATTGGAAACAGAAATGATTGGCTGATAACTCATGGGTTCAGATTCAACATTGTGAATGGCTGACTGATGTCCTGACTCTTCTGTTTCAAGTTAGGTACTCTAGGAACAGAATTCACATGGCTGAGCAGGCAGCCAAAGATCCTCGCATAGTCAATGAGAGGCAGTTTGATATCTGAACTGGGATCCACAACACATAACACATGTAGCGCTGCAGCATAAGACATTCAGTAGGAAATGTCCCCTTTTATAGCCTGGGACATATACGTTACTGCTCCAGCGATGTGTTTCTGTGAAACAGAGATTTACAGGCTTCCAGAATAAAGAATGGAAATGCAGGGATTTCACCCTAGGATGCAAGCTGTATTTCAATTCCTCTCTCCCAGGCTCCATGAACTTTGAATCATGGACACAGAATGGCCCAACTTCAACAAGATCAATCCAGTAGTTTGGGTGCTTGTATTGGAAGTAGAGCTATCAAGTCAATCTCCTAAGCCTCAGTGGACTTTGAGTCCTCTTCTCCCACATCCTAAACAGCTGAATTAAACAGCAGGTTACTCATTAGTTGGCTTACAGCACCACTTAAGTATATTTTCCTGAACATAACATAGTCCAAGTGAATTATACAGGACCAGAGCACATGTAACACCGGTCTCACTAGATCCAAAGAGATAGTCTTCTAGATTCTAAGTATCAGTACCAAAGACAAAAATAGATATTTCTTTGGCAAAGGTCCTACTGCCCATGAGCAGCAGTATATTTTTAAGTATATAGAGAAGTTTCTGCTGGAAAACTTAGGTACCTAGGATACCCTTAGTATCTAAGAAGCTAGTCACAAGTTTTCATGGAAGTTACCTTGAAGGTGGGTACTCTGACACCATTTCAAACTTCTGAGTGTTTTCTTGGATCTGGTCCACAGCATTCTAGTGTGTTAGAGATCACCATGGAAAGTGGCAGAAGCCCCCTTTAAATTTCCTCACAGCTCCAGAAAATACAGTATGGGTGACAGTCATGCAATAAGAGAGGAAAGATTTAAGACATCCTTCAAATTGCATTTCCATGATTTAAGGGAGCAGAAATGTCTATAGACAGGGTCCAGAAATGTCTTTAGAGTTCATGTAATATTGAGCACGTGGAGTGCAAAAATGTAAGCAGTGTGATGGAATAATCACAGGATGAGAGTGCAGCTCTGGGACTGAGGGAGAAGCTGAAGAGACTAGAAGGAAGAAAGTAAGTCTGGGAAGTTCAGAAGAGCAGCTGGAGGAATTAGAAAACTATAGAAGTCATGAAGTTGGTTATGAAATTCAACCCAAAATCCTGTCTGAGAGCTGTAATTCCCAAAATGAGCCCAACAGCAGTATCAGTTTACTACCCTGATAAATATCCTTTAACTACATAATTTCTGACATAACCGAAGAAGTATGAAAGGTACTAAGTACTTATACCAAGATCGCTTTGCAGATGAATGAATCTCACTATACAGTTAAATTCAGAGTGATTCTTTGAGCTTCCCCTGAGATAAATCACCTAAAAAAAAGGTGTCTTTTCTTTTACAAATTCTTCAAAAACAGAACTTGATTGATATCTTGATAGCACTAGTATGTTACGCTTAAAAAAAAAAAATTGTTCTTTAGCTGACACAAAGGTGATCATGCTTTTAGATTTAAGCATTAATGTCTGGCCAAACACTTGTACAGCTAAGGATCCTCAGCTCCCTCTAATGTTGTTATGTAGTCATTTTATACCACTTCTTATACATTTGCACAAAAGGGCAACTGAAAGAGCTACTTAAACCTTATTAAAAGCATTATTGCTTCAGACTGATATCAAAGTAAGTTTATGCAATGTCTTTAAAAGTGAGATATATATTAAGAGATTGTTGGTTTTTCTTGTTTCTGCTTGTTCACATGGAGAATCAACTGGCAGTTACTGCAAAGGAATGTTTAGACAAGTAGTAAATGATTGCTGGAGCTTATTTTTGGCTATAGGCAAACCCAATTCTTCATCTGTTGTCCAGGAAACTACTAGTCATAACCAAGGAAAAACTCAGAATAAGTTGGCATAGGAAGTTTATGGGCCATGCAGCTGTCTGTCCAATGCTTGATCATGTGTAAATGACAAGTAAATATAGGAAAATTTTATAAATTTACAACTCAGAAATAATTTAGAGAAAATTTCACTCAAAACCAATCTAAAGCATTTATTAACTAAAGTATTTTGACAGTGCCTCCTTAAAGTCTAGGACCTAGAACTGCATTCCCTCAGTATTTTTTGTATGTTACTGGTTCTTCTAATCACGCTGTCATCATTGCACTATTAAATATAATCTTCAGTGATATCTTGTCTCATACCTGCTCTGCCCATTTTGACAAAGCTGTATTAAAGCTCCTTGTGATCAGGTGGACAGAAGATGTCTTTTCAGGCAAATATGCTTACCACATATGGGAAGATATAAAAAACAAAATGTTTTGAAATCATTTTCTTAAGGTAAAGAACAGACCTACAGTTGTATAAAGCACAGCTAGCAAGGGCAAGAGAATGTTAAAAAAACTGGACATGTGGTAGCCCAGATCATCGTTTTATTCATGAGTAAAATGTCCAGAGAGTAAAAAGGTAAAGCTAAGACATGCTTCTGCCGGCAATAAAATCCATGTTTAGTGCCTGGTGAAATTTTCCTATTGGGGAACTGAAAATGTCATCTCACCCCAATATATGGATGATCTCATCTGCACTGTATAAGCATTACTAGATATCATGCAACTGGAAATTTGTGAGCTTTCTACTAGTCCACATTGACTAGTTCAAATCTAATCTAGTTGTACATTCATGAGTTCTCAAAATGTGACAACTACATATTGATCATAGTCTATTCATGCACTTTTCCAAACCCTTTTCCCCTCTGAGTAGCTTGGCCTGACTTTGGACTATTTATCATTCTTGCTATTACAAGGACTGGAAGGATGTGAGAGTTTTGAGGTATGTCCATTTTCATCCATCTCTTCTTTATTTTTCCCAGAAATCTGTACAGTGGTTTAACTGTCATAGATGTTAGTTATAGATGTACCACAAACATGAGTAATCATTTCTTTCCAGCAGAGGGAAGTATTGCCTAAGTGTTCTCTTCACTTACAGCAAAATGGACATGATCTTCTGAAGAGTTTGGCAACCAATTAGTAACTGTGAGAAGTTTTATCAGCCAAACAATTCAAGAAAGGAAGATCTGGTCAATACACTGTGAAAATTAAACAACCAACAAAAAACAAAACCAAAAGACGTCAAAGAATATCCATGCTGAAAGTACCCAGGACAGGCCTACTGCAAGGAACATCCTGATCTTAAGGGCTGCTAGCGTGGCACCTACAACACAGACCATTCTGTACTTAGCCAAGGTAGTTAATTATGTGTTTGGTTATCATCCTATGCAAACTATATGAAGCAACATGTACATACTTCTTGCTGTTCTGAAGGAGATATGACTCTTTTCTGACATACGGCTAGCCTGATGGTATGGTATTATCAGGTAAGAGAAGCAGAAAAATTAAAATTCTTAAAACTGTTAACTTGAGGAAAAACAAAAAAACCCCAGTCCTTAGTGTCTGATCCAGGCCGTTGTAAGCAATCTAAATTGGGATAATGATGTATTATATTCATCTTTTGCAGATGTTCAAGACAATTTCACCAACAAATCATTCATGTGCTTCCTACTCTACTCGTGCAGTCTGTAAATTACATACAAATTAGTTGTACTTCAGTCATACCCATAACTCACCATGATGCTGCAGGTCTGAGCAGTGGGTAAGTGGGTCTCCATTTCGGATGTCTTGTCGTCTAGTACGTCTGCAAATATCATATTTGAAAACTGTTAGTGACCTTCTCAGTGGTCAGCATTCACATTTGCCATGACTGAAGAGCAACAAATGGAACATATATATAATTACATAGGTCACAAGTGCGCCTAAACAACACTAGGAAGGAAATCATATTGTTACTACTATATTCTATACATTATCACAGTTTGTAGAATCAGCCTTTACTCTTACAGGTAAAGTCTTCAGAAACTGGTAAATACATACCTCTTGCACTGAGCCTATGGAGTTTATTTTAACTGTGTTGGCAATATTGATCACAGACAAATTCATTACTTGATTCATAGATACAGGGACTGCTAAGGGATCAAAGTATATAGAGTATAGTTTCACATGCATCAAAGAACATGAAGAAGTTGCAGCTTTTTTGCAAGTACAGAATACTTTAAGTATCATGGCATCTTTTCGATAAATAAAATATTAGGATGGATGAGTTTGAAAGAATGTCAAAGTGCTGTTTTTCCTACAAAATCTAAATTAAATACATAGGTAATTTCAGCCACTACAGACCTCACCCAAACATATTGATCTGTGCTAAAAAATATTGTATTTCACAGAAGAGAGCTTTTAAATACAGTTTTATTTTGCATTTGCTGTTCTCTCTTTGTCTGCTCCTATTTTTATTTAAATAGCTGTGACACAAAATTCAACTGAGATAGAGAAAAGCGTTTCATACAAAAAAAAAAGAAAAAAGAACAAGGCAAACAAAGATGTGTTTCAAGTGTGAGCACTTTGCTTTAGGAATTGGAGAAAGCCTGAGGGCTTGCAAAATTAGAAGAGAACAAAGGGGATTAGGCTGCTGAACAATGCTGTGATTTCAGATTATGGCATCCAGCAACGGATATGCAAAAGTCAAGTAGCCCTGTAAAAAGCACTGTTGGTCACTCCCTTGTGACAACAGCCCACATTTTTAAAAAGCCATTGTTCTGCAGTACAGAGAGCATCTCTCTTCCGTTCACTAGCCCAGTTTGCAGACTCTCACTAACAGCCCAGCATCAGCACATACTAAGAGTTCTCACATAGGCACCATCAACTGCGCAGCTGACTCCTCTTGGCTGAAAGATTTTAACCATATTTTTTTCCACTGAAAACTACTGAAATGTTAAACCTGAAATTAGTTATGTGAAGTATGGCAACAGTTTTGGGTTTTGGTTTTTTTTTGGGGGGGGCGGGGGGGAGTCAGAATATGCATTTTTTTATATTTTTCTGAATAAAAACTTCTTTAAAATTATGAATTAAGACATCTTAGCATGCTTTAGTAAGAAGGAAACTTCTGTTAGTTGATATATGATTCAAAAATGTACTAATCCTAATTTCAGATATCATCTTCATATTACTCATTACCAATGAATAAAAGTACACCCAAGACATAAGGAACCATAAAATTTTGTTATTCCTTTCTAAATGTTGAAACGCAGCATATTTATAGGATACTGTTTGTAGAAAAGAGTCTGTAGAAAGACTCATATTACTGTCAATGGAATTTGGATGAGATGTTTAGTTTGAAACTCAGAAAAATGTTGCACATATCACCATTGTATCAACACGGTGATTTATGAAATATGAACCAGAACACATCTGCATGGGGTAAAGTTAAGTGGTCACACTACAGGAGCTCTGAACTGTCATTTGGACTTGTAAAATACACAAAGAAAGAAAAGTAAATTAAAATCATGGCTCATAAAAGCTCCTTTTTAAAAAAGAAGAAAAAAAACAAAACAAAACCAAACCCCAAACCCAACTACTAGTAAAGCATCTGTGCAATTGCCTCAGGACTCAAATTTCCCAATGTTTCTGGAGCCTAAAATTACAAGGATTCATTATTAGGAAAATGTTGACATTTCAGCTGTTTCCAGCAATGCTGATTTTGTCATAGATGCATTCAAAGCTGGCTTGAGGCTGTGGGTACAGCAGGTACCAGGCAAACAGGATCCTCTCCCTCAGTGATACAGACCTTTATTCTGCTGCTGCTGTTGCCAAGGGAAAAATGAGGGGAAGTAAGGGGGGACAGTGGCTTTTTCTGAATGCATTGTCAGTATCCCAGTCTCCCAGGACTTTTTCGTTCATAGTGGCCTCAAGAAGAGTCAATTCTGCACCCCAAGGTTTTCCTGTAGCTGTGCAACCCAGTTTAGTCCCAGTAACTCTGCCCCTTAATCCCTGTAAAAAGAGGTCCCGGTCCCTTTACCCCTGATGGCAATAGTGAGATCAGTCTGCTCTTTAATAAGTTGGAGAGACAGATAAAAGACAAAAAGCCTTATTTCTTCCATCAGTGTAAGCAGATGAATGACAGGATGATGTGCTCTATGGGTCTTGAGATGGGCTGCGAGTAGGAATGGGTGCTAGTGAACGCTGAGAAAGGATGAGGTTCGGGGGTAAAGATTAGAAGGGAGGTAGCAGAGAAGAGATTCTGGACCTTACTATCTCCTTCAACTCAGAGGCAGTACTCAACCACACTGACTTCTAACCCTTAAAACTTTCAGATCAAGTTAATCTCTCAGACTCTCCTTGAAAACCTCACTGTTCCCTCTCCTCTTTTTCCTCTTCCTCCTACAGAGAAACTGCCGTGCTCTCACCGCAAATTTGAATTTAGCCCATGCAGCTGAGAAAATTTGATCAGTTCTTCTTTTGGGATGGGTTCAGTTTCTCCCTTTTAATTCTTTTCTAAAGAATTTCACAAAAAGCTTGTCTCAGATTAACTCTGTTTCCTGGTGCAAAATAGAACCTGATGTTCCACAAGCAGCTTTTTCTTTTGTCATCAGTATTTGTTTAGGATACATTGTAATGCAAACCTTGAAATTTTAATCCTCTCCATCTGAAAAGTCTGTGACAAAAATGCTACTTTCCACTCTTTACCACATTTCACCTCCTGCAACAACCAATCCAAATCTGGAATTTGGAATCCCTACATTCTCAACTAAGTATTTGCTACTAATTTTAAAATAAAGAGAAAGGCTCCTTATGCATATAAAACCTTGGACTCCTTGTTTCTTTAAATGTGTGAGATGTTTGGCATATTTCATTTAATGTGAGCACTTTTTTACCATTTTAGTCAATGTATCATGAGAATCTCAACACTACACCAATATCTGTTCTTATTTGCAAGTGATTATCAACTCAGTTATTCCTAATTTCTACTTCAGTAGCTAAGAGCTGTTCAGTAACTAGCCTATACGCTTTAAAGGAAAGAATTTCAGAGATAAAGGCAGGCAAAGAAAATATTATTTTAAATCTTCAATGCAGGCAACTAGTACTTGTAAATTTTTTATAAAAATGCTATTTTTCACTTCCAGAGTCTGTTTTCCCTCAAACTTTGCATTGCAAAGCCTTTAGCATTAGTGCAGAGTGAATGTAAAATAGTGTTTTTTCTGATCTGGTAGCATTTAGACACATATCAACACATGCAAGTTATACTTTTGAATAATAACAACAATGTTATATATCACTAACCAATACCTTTCCATTCATGCCCAAACACTTTATAAATATTTCCTTTGAATTAGAATTCATGAAAATGCAGGATAATTTACTTAGGCAAGTAGTTATTTTATTTTAATATCAAGCCCCCTCCTCATGTTAGAGAACGGAAACTTTTTCTTTTTGCTGTTTATTACCGAGTATAAAGTTATAAATCCATTTCAGAGACCACTCTTTTCTAAATGTTTTTTTACAACAGCTTTTTAAGCCAACCCAAGAAGTAGCAGTGTTCACTTTAAATCAACCAAGACTTCATATTGCTTGTAACTCCCACAATTATGTTTTTTTTGGAAGAGAAAGGGCTCCAGTTAACCATCCCATGAAAAATCTCCAAAGCCCTCTGGTCATATTGAGATCATCAGTTAAAACAAATAGCAAACCATGCAGACATGTGAAACTGTCCCTACCTCTTAGCAGTGGGGAAGTAACGTGAGCAAGATGAACCATCCCAGGCACAGTAAGGGTCTCTCGCAAGGCAGCACTCAGCACATGCTTTTCCATACACATCACAGCGGTGTAAAGGAAGCTGTGAAACTCCAGTGGCTGAGCCAATGTAGAGCTGTTGCTGTTATAAAAGTTGAAAAAAAAAAAAAAAAAGTTAAAAAAAAGGCAAACTACTGGGTTTTTGTTAGGAGGAAAGCATTAAAAGAAGTTATTTAACAATATGTTAGGATGATTACAAATACAATAAAGGATCATGATCCTGACGTACACTAAAGTAATGAGAAGAGAATTGTCCTCAGGATAAAAAAAGTCTAATAATAGGAAAAACTTTGATTTTTGTATGAAGCTCTTGGTGGCTTCCCTAAACGGTAAGAAAAATTAAAGTACTCTTCCATTTTTTCTTTTGTATTCAGATCCCTGCACAGGGAAAGCACTACGATCAGTGACAGAACACAATGGAGAATATGCTTTGAATTTAAATAAAAAGAAAAACCACTTTAATGTAAATTTCCTATATATGACTTTGATTTGTGTAGGGGGGGGTAAATAAAGCAAATTATTTCAGACTGATGCTAAATAAAGTAAATTATTTCAGACTGATGCTAAGATATTTCAGCTTGGAAGTGCTGCCATACAAGCACTTCTTTGCATGTCTGATAATTCTGATGCTTCATACTCTTTTCTATAGGTCACGTGCTCTAATTGAAACATATCTTTAATGAGGGAAAATGGCTTACTTTATTTTGGATAGAAAACAGTGTTGAGTGGAAGATGTAGTTCAAATGCAGAGAGAAGCTATAAAGTAAATAAAAAAACATGCATACAAAATGAACTACAGCTTTGTATGGCATCACAGCAGAATATCTTGTCTCTCTCAATTTCCTCTCTGATATCAAATTCATGTGGTCCATTAGGGAAGTTAGTCCCCAGAGGGACATAAGGAAACTGAACTACTGATCCTATGTGAAAGTCCAAACAGAGATATTTCAGCTTAGCACTAATTCACAAAGAAAAGTATGAGTGTAGTAAGTAAATAAAGTTCCCTCTGAGATGCAAAAATAGTGGAAAACAAAATAAACAGATAAACAAAACTTAAATGGCAGAATCCTTCTGTTCCGGAAACACTGACACGTTGCTATCAAAAGCTTAAACTTTGTCACCCAGTACCCATGGTAGAGCAAGTAACACATGTCTTTTTAAGGTCTCACTCCAAGCAGTCCCACCAAGAAAATACAAATTTGTATTTGTTTTTCTTTCTTAGAAGACGTAAAGCTGGTGCGGAAAATTCGATTTCAAGAAATGTTATAAAATTCTTCATCTCCTGCATTGTGATGTCCCAGAGGTAACATTTCCAGAGAGTTTGGGAATGGAAGGTGGCTGAGGTCACCTACCTACTAGAAATGAGAGCACTGGATACCAGGAGACAGCAAACCCAAAAACACTCATAAAAGCTGTTGTGTTAACATCTTTCAGAGACAGCAGCTTGTCAGTTTATACGGACATATTAATTGTAACAGAAACATCCTGTGCATTTATATGAACACCAGTATTTTCTCAAGGAAAATATGACAAGGAAAGCACCCAAAGGGAAATTCACTGGTAAATTGAAAACTAAGCCCTTTCTCAGCAGCTGCTTCCGTCTATTATAGTGCCATAGCTGGGTTGTAAAACCACATTCTCTGGGCAAAAATCTCTGACCACACAGAGCTCTACACAAAGCCTTGACTGTCCATACAAGTCCCCAGTTAGTGCTGTATCCTTGAGAAGCAGATGACAGGCAGCAGACATGATAAGGTGATTCTCTCTAACTTAAATCACTTAATGAAGTGCCCAGCTTAGGCGTACGTTCTGCAGTAAAAAGAGCAGCAATTCAAATCTTTGGTGACCTAACCATTTCTCAAGGGATGCTTTTTCTCTTTACTGATTATGGAGGCAGCACAGGTCAAATTAGAGCTTCAGTTAAGTATCTTAAATGTCCAGATGGTATTGATCTGAGTCCTATGTAATTGGGGCATTAATATCTATATAAGCATGTAGCAATGTGTGGTGCAACTAATATAAAAATCAACCCAGAGAATGCACATGGGAAAATAAAGAATGGTGTAATGGTTTCCTATGCACCCCTGTAACCAATTTCATTTTGTCAAAACCCCCTCCCTAATTTCTAATAAATGTCTTCAGAATTAACGAATGACCAGAAACACATAAGAAAAAAAATGTGAGGCCAAAATAGGGTTACTTAAAGACTCTTCCTTGTAGATAAGTTCATAAAGTTCAGTCAGTGAACTACACCATGTGTTTCAGGTGCTGCACAGCCTGAAGGCTGCTGCCCTGTTTGCTGCTTTTCTGATCATGGTTTTAGACTCCAGCTGGTGATCATTATTCTGGACACTAATAATATATAAATCCAGGCAGCATGAAAATCAGAAAATAGTAATAGAATGATTTGCATCAATGGTCTGACCTTACTTTGCCATACACAGTCAAACTGCCTTTTGGGCAAAAGTCTCTCCCAGGAGGTTGTTAATTTAATAAATCAGCTAATTATCAAATCATACCAGAGGGGGGAAAAAAAAAAAAAACAGTTGTCCTCTAAAAATTCTTGCAGATGTATCAGAACTCCAGGAAAAACTGAGGAAATTAATGTTTTAAGCAATCCAGTGGTTTCTGTTGCCCCACAATGCTGCCCAAAATGCAGTCTTTCTTTAGAAGTCGGACAAAGAAATAACTGAGAATTTTTCCATTTGCAATTAAAAAAAAAAAGAGAGATGAAAAAATGTAAGAAGAACTTAGGCAGAATTTTAAAAAGAACTTTAGGGAGCATGAGGTTCAAGTCCCATTTAATTTAATTTGATGTCTTGAAGTAACTGATGCAGAATATTTCAGGGGGCTGTTTAAGTGCCAAATCCATTTGGAGCTGGTCCTTTCTATATGCTCACTATGGACAGAAATGGTGATCTCCAAATAAATTTCAGTACTTTGTGGAAAGTACTATAAAAGTAGTCACTAAAATCTTCCTGAAGGTCTTTGCCTTGCCTTGTTTGAGAATCTTGTGGAGGAGAAACAAAAGCTCTTTGTAGCAGTTCACCAGATAAGGAGATGGCCTGTATCAGCCAAGGATCTCCTTGGTTTTTCCCATCTTACCAGAAATCCAATGGTTTTTTGAAACAGAGGATCACAAACCTGACCCTAAGAAAAAGATGAGAGCTTACTCCACAAAAAGTCACCTTTGATTGAAAGTCAGGCCTGACTTTTTGGCCTGCTTCCATATTTTTAAATCAAGGGAATAATTACAGAGCCCCACCTGACAGGCTCAGGGCCAAGTGGTAGCCAGGGGCTCCCTGCAAGCCTGGCTCCCACAGAACTCTGAATTTAGGCAGCTGCAGAGTGTTACAGTGGCTCTAGGATGCTGTCCTCTGAAGGTTTGTGTCTATTGCTAACCACGCATAAGTTGTTTAAGTGATAAGCTTACATAAGCCTAGGGCTCTGAACACAATTAGGAGGAATATGTAGCTTCAGTGAGAAAATATAAATATAATTCCTGTGAGTTAAAGACAGCAGGGTTGAGAAAGACTGTATCAAGGCTCTTGCCCATGAAGGCTAAATTTCCTTGCTCAAAGTCACACTTGCTCAAGGGCCAAATTCATCCTCATAGAGAAAAACAGGGGAACCTTACAGTTTTATATAATTTAAAACTTAAGCTGAGTTCTGGTCCTGAAGAATTTGTAGATTTTGGTCTTTAGGAAGAAGAGTCATTTGTAACACATCATATTGGCACAATGGCAAAAGAGGTAGTTTTGAATAACCACCATAGTAAAACACTCAAAAATAAGGAGAAGCTCCCCATACCATGTTTTTATAATTGGATGAAAGAATTGTTAGTGAAAAAAATAAAATTAAGTGATTGTTTTAAAGTTATTCAATAGGACATGCTGGTTTTACTGTTTACATTTCATGCTCCTGCTTTCTACAATGCATAGAATTATCGTGCTGTTTATATGAAAAACGCCCTGCTTATCAGAACACAATGAGTAAAGTGTTTGAGTTATAAAACTACAGTATTTTTAAATCATAAATATAAAGTGGAAACATGTTGCCATATACTTATTTGATACAGAGACGCAGTGCTAAAAGCTTGTCATATTGTATCACGATTCTCTCATTTTTAGCCTCAGGCTTGTTGATTTTTCATGAGCTTAACTCTGCCTGAATAACTTGAATTTTATGAACTTTTTAGATTTAGACAATTTTAGCAGTTTATATTTGTTTTCAAAAGACTCAGGGAAAATTGTAATCTCTCTTGAATAACTGAATAACTAATAATAAAGATGCTTTGAAGAAGTTGTATGAAAACACATGGTCCGTTATCAAATATGATTGGCTGCTTTAAGGGAATGTACTTATAAAAATAATCCAAAGCAGAGCATTTTGGTATGATGTGAGCATATATACAACTTGACAGGTTTGGTTTTAAATATCCCAGTATTCAATAGTACATTTTTTTTTGTCCTGCCATTTTTGTTGTTTTAGGTGGTAAACTATGTTAGAAGAGTGTCCCCAAACAAAATGCTTTCTGTCAAATACATGAATGCTTTCAGACAACTTTCCTAAGTACAGTGAATTCTGAGTTAAATATGCAGCATTTCAAACATAATATTGGGCTCTGTCCATTACAGAATGAATTCAACTTCTGTTTAATAATGTGTAGAGTGAGGTTTTTAGTGAGGACTGGGTGCACACAATTTTTAGTGCACCCAGTCCTGGAAGTAATACCAAATCTCCTCTTTACTGACAATGACATTAATGGAAAAATTAGTAAGTGTGAACAAGTTGCTTGTATTTACTGAATTAGGCTCCAAATGAACACAAATATGAAAAAGAAAAAAAAAAGTTTTATTATGTCAAATTTGACACTAAATTTTATGTCTCAGACTTCTGAGACAGGAAATGACAGTGGCTGGGATCCATCTACCTAATTCGAGGCAGAACTGGAAGATAGGCCCCTAATACCCACTTCACTCCCAGACTCCAAGACTGCAACCCAATGTTCTTTACATGACTACATAATTCATCAGCTGCTTCACAAAGGCAACTAATAATAATTGCCTATATTTGCTCAGAAATGCAGGAACCACCTTTACTGTAAATCAGACAAAACTTTACCTCCATCTATCAAGAAGGCCGGTACATTTTAGTTATGGTCTGGTCTACAATGAAGGCTATAATACACATCTTTTCTGTAAGAAGTTAGTTATTAGTGCACTCAACAGAAAGTATGAAATATAAATTCTGGAGTCTGGAACACATATCCTAACCACGTCACTGAATGAGAAGGTCATGGAAAATTTGGACTAAACCAGATCTACACTCTTTGTTAAAGCTGAATGGTGCACATCCAGGAATGGAATGGGCATTGGACAGAAAGACAGGAGGATGCCTCATTTCCAGTCTTTGCTTCCACTATCTACATTTTGTATTAGACTATTCCTACAAAGACCAGAACTAGTCCCATTAAAGCAAGGGACCAAGTTTGGCCACGCCTTTTGAACAGTTTTTCTGTCATGAGAACATTCCATAATGTGGATTTTTTTTTCTTGAGAGCCTCCAGACAGTTGGCTAGTTTGTGTTTAGTTTCCACCTTACCAGAAAGTAACACAAACTAGACTTTTCCTTGCTCCTTTGCATGTCAGATTTTCCTGAGAAACTACCGATGTTTATGTAAAGGGATGGGATGCTGCTGCTGTAATTAATATGTCTCCACTGACTGCCAAGTTACTGTCTCCACAAGACAGAAACTAATAAATATTTAAAAGTGATTTAAAGTTTGTGCACATAGTACCTGTTTTGTGGAAATCTTCATTGCGGAAATAACAGTGGGTTCCTAGGGATAAAAAAGAGTTAAAATATAAAATGAGCTCTATAAACATAAAAATTCTGTTAGAAGGCTATTTGTCCAACCTAGAAACCCTGAAATTAAGCTAGACGCTCCTTAGTAATAGTGCTTCTTGTTGTCTTTTGCAGTGAAACAGTTTCTAGCTGTAAGTGAATTAGAATGCATGTACATATCTGGGTGCACCTTTGATTGCTATGTTGATTGTAGACATATCATTTTCCATGATTATTACAGTTTCATTGTGATTACTTTATTACTAGTTTCACATCTTGAAATTAATTTCTACGCTTAATATTAAAACTACATTTAAAGAACTTCCCACGTAATATGAAAATAATAATGGCTGTGTCAAAATATGTAGATACTGTATATTAAGGGTGATAACACTGAAATAAGCAACACATTTTAACCATATCAAGGTGAAAACCCCATTCCTGCAAAATCTTATTCATAAGAACAAGCCTTAATCCCAAGCATATTCTTGTTGATGGCACTGCACTATTCACATACAAAGAAGTTACTCATATTTGCAGAACACAGAACTAAAACTGGCAAGAGATTTTTTGCACCCTGGAATACCCATTATTTAGTCAACCAAATGGGTCACTAGGAGACTTATTGTTCTCCTAGCTAAGTCTACTCTTAATTATACCTATCGGTAGCAAGCAGATGTCAAACCAGTATCTACTTTCTTACATGAGAGACTGTAGGAAATATTTAACAGAATAAGTATGTTTAGATCTGATTAAAAGACTGTTACACCTTTTAGGCCCAGCTGCTTGAATGGCTTTTAATCCTAAGAGGGGCATAATTTGGTTACGAAGTGTGCAAGTCAATTCTGTATGAACTTTATTCCATGTAAAAAAATCTGCTATTGATCCCATGCATCATACTTCTGGTTATATACAATAATAAAGTCCTTATTAAGCTTTTACACTTGTGTAGCTTTCAACTTGCCTATCCTGAGAGAATTTGATATGGGTCAGTGGATGTTAAGCATGTGGACTTGCCTTTACAAATGGGTTAATAGACCTTCTATTATAAAGCATCAATTAAGTGTAACATTTGAATGAAAATTGAACTCATTAGTTTGTTTGCTCAGCTGTTTAGAGAAATATTGCACAAATGGGGTTAAAAGAGGCATTTGTTATCAGTGTAACAGATATGGAAGACTTTTAGTTTCATGGAATTATAAATGAAAAGCATTGCATTCTGCAGATTGCAGTTTAAGCATCAAAATACATTGTTTATGATGCACATAGACTCTTTAGTAACTAAAGAAAACTTACATTTGGTTAAGGTGCATGTAAAATCTGTTGCAAATTCCCTATTGAAAGATCTGTATCTTATGCGTACAAATTCTACTTATTCCACTGAAGTACATTAATGCCTTCTTTAAGGCTTAAATACATGCCAAAGCAGATAAATGAGCTTTCAAGTGAATCAGAACACCAAAATCCTTTTGTGTAATGAAAAAATACACATGTAAAGTAAAATACCAGATTTGAATTTGCCATTAACCATTCTACTTCTGTAAAGCCTTTCTGAAATAAAACTTTCGCTCCATTTATTTTCTTTCTTTCACTTTTATATTTCTCTGATCTCCTTTAACTTGGCACTTCTACTTGATTTAGGTAAGAGTCTCATACATTATCAACAATTGCCAAATTATCCTGCATTAATGTAATGACTTTCGCGTGTATAAAAAAGAAAAAAAGCTCAGAGCCACAAATCACTTGTCTCATTTTCTCCTCATAGTTTCTACTTTATTTTTCTGTTAAAAAAAAAAGAAAGAATAAACCCCCACATTTCTGCCCTCAAAAAAAACCAACCAAACAAACATGGATTGCAGAAAGATACCCATTTTCCAGTGGTATCTTGCATTCAAACCAGTGGTTTCTGTGCAAGATTGGTACCAGTAATGGTAAGACTGCCCATAAGAAAAAAAATATAGAAAAAAATAATAAAAAGATATACAAGCTCTGTTTAGATATGTTTTGTCTGTTCAGAAACCAAAGATAAAGGGGTGGCAAATGAGTATGATGAGGATGTGGCAGCTGGGCCCCTGTGGCAGGTTTGGAGCGCGGTCCTTGTCAGCACATCTGGAGTGAGACCACGCGACGTGGGGCTCTCCAAGCATACAAGCATCATCTTCACGCTGTCAGATTAACCTCGCCCTCCCAGCTAGATATCAACCCCCCGAAAGCCTGGAGCCTGTTGAAATGGTGCTATAAAACGGCACTGACAAAAAGAATAACATGGGGAATGTAAATGATTCGTTGTGTACAAAACAGGAGACATCCCTGGGTTCTGTCTGGAAAGTGTTTGAAAGGTTTACTCAGCCTCGATTTGCAGCAGTGCCTATAGGATGCCTTATTTTTTAGGTGGCTCAGAGGGGAAAACTGGAAGAGACTGATTTTCACAAAAAAGTACTAAAGATTAGGGGGTGTTTACGGTGTTTTGTGTCAAACCATGAAAATGAGACCCTAAAGTCACCTTTGAAAATATAAACACTTTATTTATTTATTTCTCAGATAATTAGGCATAAGAAAACTGTGCAGACCACTGTTTTTCCCAAAGTATCTTCCTAGAGTTACATTATGCTGATAGTCTGAATACTGTTAGGAGTTTATGCATCCATAAAAGTTGTGTATTGCATATCTCTGTGGGAGAAAACAAACAGACAGTATTCCCAGACTCGCACAGATACATATTTAACTGAAGCACCTAATGGCACTAAGATTCAGAAGTTCTAATTTGCTTTTTAAACCACAAAACAAGAGCCCAGAATGCCATTTCGTTTATCATTAACCTCCAGCTAGCACTGAATATTTCAAGGTTTATTTTGACTAGTGTCTGGGTCTCTAAATGACAAGCTAATTAGAGGGGTATGCCAGGCTATTCCTTGGCTAGACTGCAAGAAGTTTAGTTTGCAGCTGTCCACAGAGAAATCTACAACCTGACACTTGAAATTTAGCCGCACTTACCCGAAAGACTGTCATTTCTTCCAGCAAGACTTCCTCTAATTCATGCCAAGTCTCCTTAGGAATTGAAACCACTTTAAGAACTGTTCCAATATCTTGAAAAGGAAAAAAAAAAAAAAAAGTTTTCAGGTGCTTAAGAAGCATACTTCAGTTTCAGAGCAGCCAGAGTTTCTTGTAGTATGTAATTATTTCACATGTAAAGATTGTGAAGCTACATATCACTGAGCATTTGTTGTTCAAAATACCAACTGCTGTTTAAAATAACCTAGAAAAACATTGAATTTCAGGAGGACATTTCACTGAAGTCTTTCAATTATCAAAATGCAAGAAAGAAAATTAATACTACTATAGTTATTAAAGAATGAAAAGGACTGAAATACTATTTAAGCGACAGTATGAAATGACAGATGTTTCGGTCATTTAACTGAGGAAGGAAAGGCACTACATTTACCCAGGCATGTTTCATTGTCCATTTTAAATATGATGTTTGTCATTCTTAAAATGCATGTGAAGATGCTGTCAGAAAGCTCAGTATGGATATAAAAACATCTGGACAAATGTTGTTAGACAGATGAAGCTGTTAGATCTCTTAAGTACAGGCAATCTTCCCCATGTCAAACAAAGTACCTAAGACATATAAGCCCCTTAAGGCATCTGTATTTCTCTGTGTTAGATACTAGTCTTCGCTGAGGGGTAAAAAGCAATACAACTTGTATCTTCTGTTTAGAAATAGGTGTGTGCCAGCATTTTAATACTATATCCATTTACATTCTTGAGGTTTTGCAATTGACTTTAACATGAACAAGGCCAACGCTTCAAATTCCAGAGTTACAGCCTTTGGTTTTGTGAATATGGTTGAGACTTAAGATCATCTCTGTTTTACAGCTTCTGCATCTGTGATTTATTTGTTTGTTTCCATGAACAGAATTTTCAGGGAACAACAACTAAAAAAAAGAATCATTTCTAGGTTGGTACACATCACTGCAGAGGCTCTGAAATGGAAACACTCTGTATGTGACTTTTCTTTTTAACCAGCCAAGTGTAGTGCCATGTAAATATATCATTGGAATAACAGCTATGCCCCTGAGGACTTTGCATGTTGCACATTCTATAGCGGTAATAGCTTAGGAAAATATAAAGCATTTTAAATGGATAAAATTCTCAAAGTAACAGAACTATAAAGGTCAACACAAAACAAGAATTAAGCATCAATTACACAAAATCAAAACATATTTTGTATGTGTACATATTTGTGTGTTAGTTGAAACTTTGATTAAAAAATGACAACTCACCATTTCTATATTGAAAATATGTATAAAATTGAAACAAATAGATTACACAGGTTGAAAAAGTTTTTATAAGGTGACTAACTTAAAAGCTATTGATTTCATGAGAAAATTCTGGTATTTCAAATTTTTTATATGAATTTGGATTAAAACATTCTAGAAATCCTAGAATATCCTGTAGAACTGAGATTTTCATTTTTCTGTCTGCTCCCCTTTAAGCAGATGTTGGTTTCCAAGTACATATTTTTGGAAGTTTAGAAAGAAGTTATTTTTTTTCCACAAAATATGTACATCGCTGTTTTCTTTCATTAATCACAAATTCATAGATTCTTTTTTAAAAAGAAAAAAGCAGTTCTTTCTTACAACAGCAACAAAGCAAAGCACAGCTTTCTTTTTATTTAGGCAGCTACATGTACAAACTAAACTAGTAAAATATACTAGATAAGTTATTTTGGAAGTGGTTTTCATTATGGTTACTGCTACTAATTGAATATATTTCATTCAAGAAATATTGAGAACAATACAGAACAAATGCAATATAAACTTTAGAGCAAGAAAAAAAAAATCCACATTTCTACAACAGAGTAATTCAGAACAACAGACAATTTAACGTTAGTTATATTTGTAATTTAATGGATGAGTTCATTTCCTTAATTATCCTGATAATTTGATGACTGTGGTTTTGAGGAAAATACATTGCATGGGTAAAAAAAGGAGAACTCTGATCTAATAAATAGAACAGCGTAGCAATGATTGTATTCTGTGTTGTACTGTGACTGTCCTCGGTCACAATCCATCAAATGCCATATTCCAGAAATAAAGGGGGATTTTTGATAAAACAGCAGAAGGGAAACTGTGGAGCCTGCGTGGGGCACTGAGGAGACCTGAGTTCCCCACAGAATGTTGTTTCAAAAAAAGGTCTGGCTTTTAAGTGGATCCTGCAACAATTACAGTTGCTTGATGCTTGAGAAAGCCTCTGAGGTCAAAGATACACTGTGTTAATCACTACGGCGACTCTCGTCAGGCCACAGGTACCAAAGCGGGGCTTTATCTGAGATCTAGATCAAGTTTTCCAGAGTAGTATTTCAAACAATTTCACACAAATGGAATCAGGCTTCTCCTTTAGGATCAATAGGCTCTGCTCAGTAAGATAAGATTACTGTTATTAATTTGCTTTACTGACAGATGTACCTTGACTGTGCCAAATGATCCCAAACATCAGACACTCAGGATATGCATTAAGTGCATATCTTAAATCCTGTTTTTTTCTGATATAATTTCAAGTGTGCCGATATGATTTTATTTCCATTGTGAAACACACTGGTACAATCACAGTGGGAAAGAAACTGCTCGGCTAAAGATTTCACCCACAGGAAAGGAAAATGTGACCACGCTGGATGGCTATTAATTATGTTGCATTCAATTATCATCAGTTATTCAATGAAAAGGAAAAAAAAAGTATTTCTTCAACATATTGAAGTTCAGCAGCATGTGGGAATAATGCAGATTGCTGCAACAGCAATGGGAAAATACAGAGAAATGTATCTAATCTGATGGGACAGACCTGCATAGAAAAATCCAGTCATACCCCAGAGGGCTTAATTCTGGCTTTGTCATAGGTTCAGATCATCAAGTGGGAAACTGGACTGTGACTAGAGTCCCTAATCTGCTCCCCGGTTTGTTCTTTGCTTGGGGAAGATGTAATATGCACTGATTGTGTATCTGTTTCTGGTTCCTTTGACTTTGACCAGCTGGCTCAGTGCAGCTTTCTGGCAGAAAGCAGGCAGGGCCTCAGTTCTGCCTCTTTTCCTTTCCCCCTGCATGGAAGACGCCCTTTCCTCATTCTGAAAACTGCACTGAGGCTAGCGAGCTCAGAGGAGCATGGAGCACCTTTTCTGCCCCAGCTCCAAGCACAGGTGTTGTAACGCCTGTTCTTGTCCCACGAGGGTATAACCTCCTACTGGAAAAAGAACAGTTTCTCTGGACAAAAGTAATATTTCAAGAAATAATAACATTCTGCACTTACAAAGCTGTGTTTTTGGTGCTGAAATCTTTTTTGGCAAGTGCAAGTAATAATCTTTCAATACTTTTACAGTTCTTGGGCACAAATATCAGCAATGTTGGATAAGATCCAGAGCACTTACCACACACCTGAATATTAGTCGTTTAGGGAATTAAGTGAGTGCCTAAATTCCCAACTCAAAGGTAAGAGCTAGATATCATTGAGGCTCTTTCAGAGGGAGACTTTGCCTGACTAATTTAGATAAGAACCACTATACATAACGATAACTATCTAAAAGCTATAGCTCAGGTTTAAGCAAGTCTTCCTGTACTGTCTGAAAACAGACAGGAACTTCTGCATAACTATTCATCTTGCTCTAACAGAGGTCTCAAAGAAAGTACAATGAATCTCTCTCTGGAAGTACTTATCCCTCTGCACTGCAGAAGCCAAGGCATCTTTCTTAGACTGAATGCCAAACTTTGGTGAGATAAATGCCACCTCTTGTGCTCAAGATGTAGACATAAATCAGCTCCTTATGTTTGTTCAGTATCATACTCTGGATGTTGAAGGCCTTGTTCCCTCACATCGCAGCCAAGGGGAGTATTGCCATTAGTTTTTTTTCTGGGCTGAATCAGGTCACAGAAGACTTGTTGAAAGGCACAAAACACTGCCAATCGTAGATGGCATTGAAGTCTCTAATGTGTGATGGAAAATATATGTGTTGTGTAAAATCATATGAAACTACTTTTCAATGTTTTATGCAAGAACATATTGTAGCACTGGTATCTAATAACTCAGTTCACAGCTTTGAAGAGCTGGAACACTTTCTGCAGAGCTGCATTTCCTGCAGTAAATGTTCTGAATTGCTACGCATGCACTGTGTTTGGTACACAAAGCTTCATCAGCTCTCAGTTTACTCATAATATATTTCAGGCATCAACATGAAAGAGACCTTGAGATTTATCGCTTTGGAAATCTGACCCCACGTCTAGAGCACCAGAACTGTACTTAAAGCAAGTAAAAAATTGGACTGTTATAAGACAGACAGCCAGACAAATATTTTTTGGTCCAAAGCTGAAAAGAAACAGTGGGGTTTTGGTTTGATTTGTTTTGACTACATGATGCCAATGTCTAATTATTAGCAATTATGTTCAGTAGAAGTTTAAAACAGTTTTGTTCAACATAACTGAAACACCAGTCGACTAATGGAAAATCTTCAAAGGTGAAGAAGCAGACCCACCAACTGCTAATCAGCATAGTTCTGAAGCCCCTGAACCTAGGCAAATGCATATCAGCTAATTTCTGGCCACTGTTTTTTCTTATGATTTCCTTTTTGGAAAACATGTCTTCCCTGAGTGCATATCTCCACTTCTGATAAAATGCCCAAGCTGTATGATTCTGTAAAGGCTTTGGAAAGGATATCAGGTTTCTATTTGAATACCAGCTCTTCTTAAAACATTTCATATGTGCCAGATATCTTCATCTTAAGTAAAATGATGTACTCTTCTGGCTAAAGAGCTGGGAATCTCTAAGGCAATACTTGAAATACTTGAAAGGCACACAAGACATTTCCCATACCTGGATACTTGCCTCATTCATGTTAATACTTCAAAATGGGTACCTCAAAACCTGCATTTTAATACTAAATTATAATTAACAAGGCAAGATATTTCTAATAAAATTCCCTAATAACAGCAGTTGAAAAGAGAGTGGTTTGATCTTAATCCAGATGGCAAAGCTCCTAAAGAATTCAGCTATGCAGGCCACGGCCTGAACCTGTTACAGCGAATGTATGTAACAAAGACCTCCCCACACACAAAATTTTGAGTCTTGCCCCAAATTTTCACAGGTATACACCATTCTGTCAGTGTTCTGTCTTTCAGAGAATGAAATTTTATCTGATCTGTGTCTCCATAATGCCTGGAGGAGCACACTGTGTAGATTAAAAACTTCTCACCTGTGCCAATGAACATCACATCATATTGGCCATCTTCTGCGTCTACTCGATCTACTACTATCTGTGTGAATTGGTAATCCACATCCGTTTTGATCATGATTGGACGATTGTTGATGGGGAATACTGGGTTGTACATGGCTGGATGACTTCTTGCAAATGTTATAACTTCATCAGGAAGGTCCTTGGTGGAATCAAAGCCTCCAAATGTTTTACTGGGACACTGGAAATAAAAAAGAAAATGTTTTACATTTTATTATTGATCACTAAGAACATATTAGAAATCCATTTCATAACAATCATCCCAACTACTACAGTCTATAATTAAATAAGGGGACCTAAGTGTTTCATGAGAGACAGCAAAAGTTAATTCTGTCACTAAAAGTCTCAATTTTTTTTTTCATTTTGGATTTAAATCAATCTGGTTAACAGAATGTAAATGATAATCATACATCATTTTTATTACTACTATGCAGTGCAAAAGGATTTTCAGTCATTTACTGATTAGTATTAGTCTTTAATTGGCAGAAGGAAGAAATCCTGAATTATCTAAAATCATTCAATATGAGGCAAGCAATTTCAGCATTTGGTTACGTATATAACAGAAAATTAATTAATTATGCCACCATCTTAGTTTCAAAGTATTGTCTTCAGAAGTTGACTGGAAGTCAGTTCCTCTCTGAGGAACCAAATCCTTAAATGCTGGGATAATTCCCTGTTCTACTGACTTTTCAAACTCCTGCTTGTCTCAACGAGCCTGTGTCATCCATGCAGTCCCGATAACATGGATTCTGTTACACCAAATCAAATCAAATGAGTCACGTCCTAAATGTATCTCTTTTCTCTCCATTGATTTTAAAGAAAGTCTTCTGTGAGTGTTGTTGATGATACTGTCCATGTGAACAGTTAGGTGAGATGAGTCTCACTAAAGAACTGAAATAACTCCTCACTGTTGTGTACTGTGCAGTAACAGAAAAGTTGGTGTCCCCTTGGGACTAACTTGGTCCCTATGAAGTAACACAGTAAAGAGTCCCTTTGCCCCCTTATATACCCGTGGGTGGGCCAGACAGTTTTACCACAAATGTATTCCTTCACTTTCACCTACCACATCTCCCCATGGGGAAACTCGAGGACTGTGGCCAGTCACCACCATTTTCTCTCATCTCTTCTGTAGAATTGGTAAGTATTTTATGAAAAATTAGAGGTTACTAACATAAGCATTAGTAGTGTGTTAGTAATGTTGAATGGATGAAGAAAATGAGCCACAATGGCATTAAATCACCAGTCCAAAGATACTCAGCAAAGAACTTTGTGACACCCACTCCTAACCTGTTCAGATACCTATGTAAGACATATAAAACTCTGAAACCCAGTTGACAATAATTATGTTTGTGGTGTTTGAACCAGAAATATAAACAGCTGGTGTTAAAATGCCTTGAGTAATTTCCCCTTTATATCCACGTATAGAATATCTTCCAATTAAATAAAAAACCTAGAGGACAACATCTTATTAACCAAGAATCCAGACCTTGCAGGATGCTCAGCAGAAGAAATCAATTGTCTTTGCTATCACCTTGATCCAAATTATTAATAATTTATCAGAAATGAAATTAAAAAATCAATGTTGTCAAAAGAAGTAGTTGTTATACTCAGCAAAGGGACACTTTCAGCATGGACATATAAAGTGTAAATTGTCCCTTTTCGGCATATTTGTCAGTAAGCAAATTCCTGCATTCTGTTCCATTACATGGTATGGAAGGGAGAAAGGGAGGGAGGGAGAATATTTGATTGATGCATGTGGAGCAGACTAAGCAGAAAGCAAGTTAGTTATCATCTACTTTACTGTGTCAACATTTTTCAGCCTTTTTGTTATTATGTGTTCTTGCTCTCTTATACAGAACTATTACAGAGAGAAAATCAGATAGGCTTTTTATAATCATTGGCCAAACCATTGTCTGTCTCAAAAATTGTGTTTAAAATTCTACACTTCAATTTTAAGTTTGCTTTACATCTCGATTAATATTCTAACTACAGTTCAACACTAATTACTCAGATTAATTAGATAATGATTAATTAGATAATATATGTAAAGTGCTTTAAGTATAAAAATCACTACACAAGAAGTAAGTATTGTTAATTGCAGCTGGGCAAACATTGAAAAAACAGTAAATGAATATTCATTTCCATTTTAAGTAAATTAATTTCAGCTGTGTTTCAATTGCTTGAATATTTACTTTCTGGCTCATTTTCTGACGAAAGATTTTACTTGCAGCTATGTTGACCAAGATATATCTTATGCAGAAAAATCATAAAACTAGAATTAGTGTCATAATTCTGTGTGTTTAAATGAGACTCCCAGTTCTGAGAGTCAGATTACTCCTCTTTGGATCCCCTGCTTTTCTGAGAATAAAAAAATGACAGTAACTTTGTGTCTTTACATCTAAAGTTTAAAGTGCCTACCTGGAGTAGGCTGTGGCTCACATTCATCCCATCCCACTTTAGGAAACTGACTGAGATGAAATCAAACTCTCATTGCTATAACTCCCTCCCTTTTCAATAGAGTGAAATGGGCACCATCAGTCCAAATTGCTTGCAGAGGAATCTCAACTCACATAAATTCAGAGATAGAATAGAATAGAATAGAATAGAATAGAATAGAATAGAATAGAATAGAATAGAATAGATAAGAATAGTTGTCCTAAGGAGGAAAGTCCTGTCATGCTTACTTATGTTACGGTCACAAAACCAGGATACACAACAAAGACATTATCCTTGATGCTAATGACAGGATTGCTTTTGATATTAGTGGGTCTAGGTCAAGCTAATTGGCAAGGCACTTCATCAGAACTCATACCTAATATACTTATTATACTATACCTAATATATACCTAATCTATTCCACTGACAACAAAGAAACAGAAAGTTTTCAGATGCCAAAAGATAGGCATGAATACAAATATCCTGAAAAAGTTTGGAGAAATGAGCTTCATCTTGGATTCAAGTAGAGTCAAAGAACTCTTGCATTTAACATCCACTTCCAATTGTTGGTCCCCAGAATATGTCAGGGGTTTTGATCAGTCAGGAGGAGGTAACTAGGCTATCCCCTAACTGGCCTATTAGGGAATCCAACAGAATAAATCAATAGCCACAATTTGGTAGGAACAAAAAGTGCTTTGGTCATAACTGAAGATAGACTCTTGGTACCATGAAGCAGAGAAACCTTGAGCTCTATAGCTGAATTTACAGAAAGTCAGATATGAATTCAGGATGAGGTACCTCATTCAAGATGAGGTATATACAAAAATCCTCCCTCCTCTCCCAAATATTGTTAAAAGGTTAAAAAAAAAAAAAAGTTCTACAGGTCTTAAAGGAAAAATCCTGGCAACTTCTTTGTTAAATGTGAAGCTAATATAGAATTGTTTACAAAGTTTTCTGACTTTTCAAAGGAACCATTAACTTTCCTTTTTCTTTACTCGTACTGGGCAAGTCACCAGATGCTCAAGTAGTTTACTGGCACCTCACCTATTAAATTCCTCAGATAATTCAGCACTGTTTAACTGCAGTGAGATCTGGAAATGAATCACTGTAAGAAGCTCAGGTTTTATTTCTCCCTTCCCTTTCCCTGTTTCTTGGAAAAGGAAGGCACAAGTCTGATATCTAAAGGAACTTCAAAAGCCTTTCTTCTTTATTCTCAACAGGTCTTCAAAGCCATTGAAAATACATCCAATTTTATCAGTTTAGAAACAAAAAGCTTCTTTTCAGCCAGAAATGTCTCTCATTTTATAATTCAATTTTATTCTACTAATACAATAGAATGATTTTAGCAACTGTGAGGGAAAAAAAAATCTTTTTCAAAGTGATAGACACCAGGATTAGAGTCACTGGCAGCGGGCTAGGAGAAATTGGTGGCCTCAGCTACTCTTTGATTAACATAATTTATCATTTATACATGACGCGACTGCAGGGCTATGTAGACTTGTATAATTTGGGATCACATTCACCCTTAGGCAAGAAAAATGTTTACAATGAAATGTGAACATCTTTGCACTTTCTTTGTGAATCTTAGCATGTTACAGTGAAATTGTAAGGGTAAAATCCGTTCTGAGAGGATAGCCAGAAAAAAAAAAGGATATGTAACTTAACTGTATTTCCCTATTTTGGCAAAAGATCTGATGGCTTAGGTCACTTAGCCACTTAGGGGCTGGATTGGGGTCCCTGCTTTTCTGCTTGTTCTCAGGAATTTGATCAAGCTATTCTTCTCCCATATGGATCTCAGTTCAAGACCCTCAGACAAGTCTTGGAATAACCCACAGGCTCTGAGGCAGGCAGAGCTGTGTTGCCAGTCTCTAGGGCAAATATTTAAGCTGCGCATTCAGAATCTCAATAGATCTGCATCCGATCCCTGCCGAGGAATGAATGTAACAGAGCCACTGTGCAGCAGCCAGTTCATCTCAGTCTATTTCTGTGACAGAAACATGTAACGTTCTTCTTTGTCTGTAGTTTTACATAATATCTATTATTTGTTTTTGTTTAGAAAAGTTAATCAGTACTGGAATCAAAGAGAAATATAAATAAACAGAATAATGAACACTAACTTATTAAGTCTGTCAGACTGGAAAGAAGATGACATTAGCTGTACAAGAAATACCAAAAATATCTACTCCTTCACATTTTCCACAAGGATATAAAACAATGCAACTGCAAAAAAAAAGCCCTCTGATGTATCAGCATTAACTATAGTAATTAAAAAAAAAAAAGTTCAGCATCAAATGAGACTTGAAATTTCTCCTATGCTTCAGAGCTTGTATTTTAACTCTGGAAAAAATTAGGAATCCCTTTAGCAGTTGTAGTGAGGGAGTGAGGAGTGCTGAGGAATCTGGCTGTCAGGGAGCCACTGTTTTCTTTTACTTAGGAAGTCATTTTCTTTAGGCTGAGCATATATATTGTCTAAGTGTTGGAGATCAGTTAAAAGATCAGGTTTGAAAGAACAATTTCAAAGCATACCAGACAAAAGCAGAAAATCTCATGATTTAAAAGAAATTGTCAAAGTTACTCCTGGTATGTTTTGTGCCTTATATTTAAGGAGACTTTTAAAAGAATATTATAGATATTATAGATATATTACTTATATTTACATGTTTTTATGTATACATGTGTACACATATATTTAATCTTCAGCAATGATATTTCAGAACTTAAATGGGTCAATCTGATTTGCTAAGGAGCTACCCCAATGTATACAATTAATGCTTTTTTCATAAAAGTGAATTCTCAGACTACTGGTAATTTCAGAGGCAGTTAAATATTTCTAGAATGTGATGACATCAGTTGGGAATTGTAAATATGGATGTCTTATATACACTGGTATTTTAGTCATTCATAAACTAGAAACAGAGAAACAGGTAGAAGGATAGGTTTTAAAAAATGCCAGTGGAAGTTAGAAGTTATTATAGTTGCTCTTTCATCCACTGCAGAAATATCTGTCTTACTGTACTAGATTTAATGTCAAGAACAATTGAAAGTTTCTTAACAGCCAGGCAGATGCTCTGGTTTTTGTTCATTCTCACTAAGAATGGCTCAGCCCATATTTGGAACAAAGACAAATTCCAAAGAAAGGATAATGCAGAGTAATTTATTAAACATTTGACTTTCAGTAAAATTCTCCAGCCATTGCTCAAACTTCTGCTGAAGTTGTTAATATGAATGCCAAAATTAAAATCCAAATGAAGTTGCTATTGCAGTTTTATGATTTATAAGAAAATCAGTACCTTTTGGCCCTGGAGGAATTGTTAGCTTTCCCTTCTGCCACCCTACCCATTTCATTATCTTTTTCAGTTTCTTTCCTGGATGTCAGCTCAAGGACCATGTAATGTGTGAAAACATTTTCCATAGTTTTCCCTTTTTAGATTATGATATTTCTTAGGGTACTTACAGTTCCTGGCCGTGGATATGGCACTCGCCCTTGGTAGGGAACCCACTGGTAGTTTGGGCCATCTCGGTGGGCATAGGGACCAAGAAATACCCTCCTCACATCAGTCATGCTGTACATACACACTGCTGACCCCTTGAAGATATTACTAAAAACGAGGGAAGAAGAAATTAAATCAAGTTCTTCAAATTTTCGGTCAGTTTAATCGCGTGGAAGAGCTACGGGAATAGCAGCTTGTTGCTTTATAATTTATTGCATGTGCTGATTATCAAAACCCTGACATGCTCTCAGAGCAATCCTAACTCACCTCCTGTGAAAGTTCAACATAACTGATACGATCTCTCAGACATTTTCCTAAGCAGATGGCTGCTATTCCACTATTTAAAACATATTGTCCCCAGAAGGCCAAAGCCCCGATTTGAGTAAACTTCAACGGGGCTGTCCCTAGAGGACTATTCAATTCTTTCCTACACTTTGCATTTTTCTATTTTTTTTTTTAGCAGTCTCTTCTGTCATTTGGGCAGCACACACACAAACTTCAGTGTTGTTTCTTACCTTGAGATTTCTTACAGAAGACAGTAAGGACTTGTAAATCTCCCTCTTCTATGCCTGGTTATCACTAGAAACATTCTTTCTGTTTAGAAACTAAAACTTTTGTCCTTCACAGATAAATGTGGCAATGCAACCAGTACTGCAAACCTTCCTCAGGCCAAAGCTACAAGTATAATTTTGTTCTTGGTGAAAGCACAATGAAACCAAAACATTCAAGTCACAGTTATATGTGATTCAATAACAGAACTTCTGAAAGATCATTAAACTTTCCAGATTTCAGCAATATTTTTTACTAATACCTCCTTGAGTAGCCAGTTTCTCAGACCACAGATTTTCTATTTTACCCTGCCCCCAAACTAGCATATTTATGCTTGTGTTGTTTTTCTAGGTCTGTGTGGAAAGGGCTACAAATTCTGATCCCCACTATAAAAAGCCAATTCAACAGCAAGAACAGCCTGAGAAACTGATAGTCTTTGTGATTACTAGCTTGGAAGTGATGATGTACATTGCTCATAAGAAACCTTATTCATTAGTTCTTACTGCCACTGACTTCTCAGTTCAAAGGTTAAGAAAATTTTGTGTTCTTTAAAAACATTTTTAACAAAGAGACCTCTTTAAAACAAGCAGCCACCCAAGTTTCCATGCAAGTAAAATGATATGTTCTATACCTGGAAGTTGTGAACACTCCATAGACTATCGGATTTTTAGGGTCTTTTGAGTTCATTAGGAACACATCCTCTGTAACAATAACAAGAGATGGAAAAGAAAACGAAGTTAAATTCATATAGATAATACCTGAAAACATTTCTATATTCAACGCCATTTCTACCACTTACGTAGTTCATCAAAGTGTGTGTCAATGCCATTGGGTCCTGGCACAGAACAAATCAGACGTGCTTTGAGGAAAGTTGTCCATTTGTTAACAAGGCTCCTGTGCCCACCAAAGTCATTCTAATAACAAAAGTATTTTGCATTAATATCTAGTAACAGTCTTTGTTTGAAGCATCAACAGAGTACAGAGAAAATATAGTAAATAACTACAAGATGTTACTTATAGAAAACAGAAAAGCATTCAGCTTTTACATACAAAAGCATTATTATTTTGTCAAAAACACTAATTCTGAATTGGTTTTATTTTACATTGTATTGCTACATATTTCATAGTAGCACATCATTTAAAAAACAAAACCAAAAAAACCCAAACCTCTTTATATATTGTAATACATATATAACACTGGAGAAAGACAGACAGGCAGAATATTTTGCTCCAGAGCTGCCATGTCCTGGTAAAGCTTAAGGGGTTTATTATTCTTAACTGGGTACGAACAAAGTAGAAATGCAGGCTGCAAGTGAACAAAGTAGATAAAAATGCCAGAACGGTGGGATCAGTTGTATAGCTGCAAAACTTATGCATATAGTGCACACAAGGACTCCATACGTATGGGGTAATTGGTTTTCAAGCAGCTACCTCTGGATTTGAGGAGATAAACTGAAATTGTGCTTATGGATTAACATGAAATTTTACTGTAAACATCATAGTTGCAAAAGCCACAACATTTATTAATATAATTTCATTGGTAGAAATCTTTTTAAAAGTCTGTCAGAAAAATATTTGGACGTTTATCAGTGTGGATGAATGATTCAATCTGCAGTCATTAAGGGTCTTCTGAATGGTTGCCCATTTCTACAGCTAAGCTTAAACAACTGTTCCGTTAAATCTTCCTTTGCCTCTGTTTTAAAGATTTTCACTAATGTGGGAATGGAAAGGTATTAACATTCCTTTAAAAAGTAAATTCTTCAAATGTTTTTGGCCTACCTGGAAGTATCACATTTCCTGTAAATGATTCTCTCTTCTGCAGACACATTCTAAGCCTCAGAAGGTGCCTATGACTTTTTAAACAAAACATTGTAGTTTGTGAAGTTTCCCTGAACAGAGAAGAACTGAATAGTATACCTTTGGGTGTGTTATCTCTATTTTTCACTTGGGGTGATCTCTGCTTTAGTACAATGCCAGTGTTAATACTGAATAGTTCACAGGCAAGAAAATGTATTTTCTAAAATCACTTGCAAAGCATCCTGCAAGTGTATTCAATCTCACCCAAAGAAGTCATCATTTTACCTTGCAGATCTGCCCTATTCTGGCATGAGTGGCTTTTCCAGTGTGCTCTCCATCAATTGCATTTTCACGGAAGAAGAAATAGATTTTGTCATCTTCTGGATTGTCACTCTCCGGTATCAGGTGAGCACTAATAAATCTAGGATCTGAGAAGACAATGCCGTTGTGCATGTTACTACTCCATGAATTGAATCACTTGCCTTCCTTATATAAGTGAATTGTGATTTTGCTTCCCAAGAATCAACCTTTGCATCAAATGGCAAATATATCTATGTTAGGTACATCATCACCGATTAGCACGTAGCAGGTATTTACATTCCTATTGTCTTTAATACATAGAGGTGTTTGCTACAGATATTAAATGAGCAGATCTTAACTTTATTATTGGAGCAATTAAACATTCATGAAATCTCTTTACAAATTGTTATATAACATTAGAGCATGGCTTCCTAATTCCATGTGTTTGTTACTGACATTTTTCTTGTTTCTTTGGATGTTTTGACTTTGGTCAATAATCTTTCTGTATATGTCACACATAAAATGAAAGAATTATTGAGACAAATTAATATTCTTAACTCTAGCAATAATGAAGAGTATATAAAGAAAATATTACAGTTTTGATTTATATTGTCTGCTTCCACACTATGATACCCCAAATCCAAACATTTTTTGTCTCGTTTTCAGAAGAGAAATGCATTTGTGAATTTCTATGCAAGTTGTTGAAATACTATGTCTTGTAATTTTTTTAAGGAAGTTGCTTTTGTTGTAGAAAACCTTTATTTCTTGACAATTAGAGTGACAACATTATTTGGTGATAAAGAAGATACATCAACAAATGAAAACACATAAAATGCAGACATACTGATGGGTTACATAAAAAATGGTGGAAAGAAGTTTGGGGAGAGAATTTTATAGAAATCATAACAGTACATTCATACCAGTGGTGAATCTGGCTCATCACTGTATTTTACAGAGATACTTCAGCTGGTATCTCTCACTATATTTGGAAAAAGAAGGCATATCCAACAGATTTACCAATCTGTTTTATAAGCTTTTTACATCCTGCTGGGATAATTAACTGTGAACTATATTTAACTACTCAGAGTCCTGTTCATATGTGAAATTATAAGCTATTTTAGTGTCCTGCATTAACATCTTTTCAGTGTATGTTTATTGCTATATAGTCATGGAAATAACGAACTGTACTTTGTTTTCCCAGTTTGCACTAGCTGTCCTGTGAAACCCGTTGCCTTATTAAGGATGGCAGTGTTTGTAAGCAACATATTTTGATATATTTTTATATATGCATGTATGTTTTTAGATGTTTCTCTTATATGAGTACATACCACATAATTTTGTGTGTGTGAGTGTGTGTATATTCTCATGTACTCTGTGTATGTATATATATGTATATATATAGTCTCATGTACTCTGTGTGTGTGTGTATATATACACAGTATACAAGAAGGACCATACTGGCTTAGACCAAGGTTTACGTAGATCAATATACAGACTCCAACATTGTCCAGAAGTAATTATCTGGGACAAAGAAAGAATATGGTAAGTACAAATAATACCCTCCCAGAATAAACTCCCTTCCTCCAACAGTTTTCAGTGTAGCTGATTCCCTGAGTCTGTTTGCTTTCTATGTGTTTAGTAACTCTCAATAGATTTTTCATCCAGTTATCTCTCTAGACTCTTCTTGAACTCATGCAAATTTCCAGCATTCATAGTGTTCTTTTGGAATTTGTTCCTCACGTACACAATCTAATGGACTAAAACTTACTTCTGATTTCGTGTTTTGAACATTGATCTTACTAACTTCATTTGGTCCCTCTTAATTCCTGTATTGGAAATACCCACAGTGTTCAAGATGTGGATTAATTGTGCTCTTATATAAGGGCCATGGCAGTGCTCTTTGTTGAATTCTCTGTTCTTCTTCTATTAATTCCTAACATTTCATATGGATTTGACAGTTCCTAAGCAGTAATCTGAAATTTTCATGGAACTTTATGTGCCATAACCCCAGAACCTCACTCTTCATTGGTAATGCTCAGTCCACAGCCCATCATTTTATATGTGAAGATAGGCATGTTTTCCTCATGGTCTTCCCCATGGCTTATCACTACATCATTCATCAAGAATAATTTAATTTGTCATTTGATTGCTTAGCTACCCAGTTGCATAAGATCCTTTTGTAATTCTTCACAGTCTTCCTTTGTCTCACTATGCTGAATAACTTAGTATCGTGCGAAAAATTTTCTCATCCTGCTGCTCAACCTCTTTTTCAGGTTATTTATGAACATGTTGAACAACACAGGCCACAGAACAGACCTCTGTGGAACTGTGTCTGTTACCTATTGCTTATTAAAATAAATCTTTTTGGACATCTGAAAACATCAAAAATCGGTAAGCAGCTTAAGCTCTCCACCCCAAACCCCAGGAACTTAAGCTACTAAATTCACTTCCTTTCTTTCTAGCATGCCTTTAGTAGCCTTCAAGTTACACTGACACAAGGCCCAAGATAAATAATAGCTAGACTATATTGTATGATGGTAAATATCTGTTATTTTACATATGATCTACCAGGGCTTTGAATGCAACTTGTATCACAAGAAACAGAAGGCTACAGCTTGAAAATTTCTCCATCGCAGCCTGTGGAAGGATACATCAGAGAAAGAGGATACCCATTAGCAGACACTGGTCTGGGCTACTAGATCTGGAGAACCTCTTGTCTGAATACACTGTTTTTACAATCTTACGGTCTTAATGAAAAGGGTAAAAAAAAATCATTCAACCAAAACCTAAATACATTCCCAAATGGTTGAATGATTTGTTTTTAGGGTAATGGGTTTTGTAAATCACAAGATATCAAATTCTAAAATAAATCACTATATTATCAGGCATCAAAAATCTAACTTTACATTGGCCTATGAAGATACTGTGGGGAGTCCCATTTGAGTCAATAATATTGCTGATATAGTATGGGTTATATAAACTTGCCCTCAGTTAGCATGTTATTCTTTTCTTTCCCTCTCATAATTTTGCAAGTGAACCTAGAAACAGTAAGAGAGTCTTGCATTAAAGC